TTAAGAGCGCAGCATGAAGTAAAATTTCTATTCAATTAGGTTTAATTAAAATTATATGCCTTATTAGGTCAATATACATTAATAATTTTGAAATTTAACATATTTTTGACATAAATAAATTAAAATCACTGTTTTCTATCAAATCTGAATTAGAACTCAAGAAAAACTGATAAATTCAGCTGTAAAAATTAGAGCAATTTATTTAGAAAAAAAACACATTTAGCAGATGAAAGCTGGGATCCTATTTCAAAAGCACTGAAGCTATCACCTTATTGCTTTTAAGTAAATGGAAAAATACAGAATTTGTATAGAAGAAAAATGAAATATATCCAAAGCACCTATCAGTAACCATGTCTGTTCCAGCGCATATCTTTAGAATTTCTTTGAGTATTATGTCTTTAGTACAGGGTCCATAACAGGGGCCAGGACATTATCTACAGGGGCACTGGCCCCCATTGGCCCCTGTCTAGAACCGCCCATGTTTAGCAGCACCTCATATTAAAGGTATAATGGAGGATTTTCACAATAAAAAAAAAGACCCGGCCTCTCCCATTAAAAAACATACACAGGCACAACCAAGTATCAGAGGTAATGCTTATTAAAAACATGTGAGAGCATGCACAAGCCCATTTCTCCTTGTGCAAGCTCTGTTTAAAAGTTGTTTTTTGCATCGCTCATACAAGCTTACTTTACAAAAAAAAGAATTTCTCCACTATGCCAGTATTATCACCATTTATTTTGATGATCCACCCAGAAAAAGACCATTCTCCACTATACCTTTAACTTTCAAAGTAGATATTATGTGTCATATGTTACTGGAGCCAACTCATAAAGTGTAATTAAGATCTTGAAGGAACCCAGTACATTTATCCCATTAAAACATAAGTGTGGTAACATTAGCTATTCCTTGATTTATCCCACGATGTGGAACTCTACAGAATTAAAGCAACAGACAAGTGCACACAATACAAGTAAAATCACATAAGAAATGAAAGATATCACAAAAGTGGGGGATTATTAATACTATAAACATTACATTATTAACACTATTATTATTCAGTTGTAATAATAAAAAGAATCACTGAAACACTAAAAGGTCAACAGTTCCATGATATATCAAGCTTAAATGTTAAAAAATATCGGTATTGTGTCGCTATTGGCGAAACTGACCCTGTATTTACTTGGTATCATATTTATTAAAAATTCTCAGTATCACCCACCTCTATTGGAAAGTAGGCTAAACCATTAACTGAGTTAATGTTAGTTTACTCATGGTACAGAATGAAGGTGGGACCAGCAATCGAGCAGCAAGGGTGGTATGTAATTCTTTTTCTTCCCTTCTTTATAAACAGTTTCACATTTTGAACGCTAGGGGTCACTACTGTATCTATTAAATATGTGAACTCTGTGAACTTAACCTGACTTATTTGAAAATATTTTAAGCATCTGATGAACCACAAATGACTGAATTTAAAGATAGCTTCCTATATAATGGATCCAATATTGCAGTGTTTTTGATCCCTCCTCCATTTAGTGATGGCCTTGACATGCTCTGCTGTTTGGAAAAAAAAGGCATTGTTCCTTATCACAATGTTCTTGGATCATTGGATAAAGTTGCTTTTGGATATAGTTTTAATCGTATGATGTGGTCAAGGCTATATTTTCAGTCATAAGTGTGAATGAGGTACATGTCATCAAGAAAAAACCTCACGTGTTGGCATATCATGGACCTTAAGAGTTTTTTTTCTTTATCTATGCTCCTTTTTACAGAAAGTCCACCAGTTTCAGGAGAAAATAAATACATAAATTACTTTCCTAACCTTGTTCACTCAACAGGAAATTATTTCCTGTTGAGAAGTGGAGAAGAACACCAGTTAAAATGTATTTCTTGTTATTTTTCTCTGTCACTTTATTTTTACCTCTTCAGGGTGGTGAAGTATATATATATATATATATATATATATATATATATATATATATATATATATATATATATATATATATATATTAAAAAATCCCTTAATTGTCACACAATGGGGAAATTTACCTTTAACACAAAAAGAAGAGTATGAAATGCCAGTAAATGTTGGCAAAGTCCCTATTTTATTGATATATATTAATAACATGGGGATAGCCAAAATTTGTTTGCAAACAAGTTTGCAACCTCTGTCAGCACACATTGAAAGGAAACGTTTGAAAATGCCAATTGCTGTAGGTGAGCCAGCCCCTAAATAAACAGAGGAAGGGTTTGCGTGGTCATCAACACTCTCTGTTCAATAGAAAAATGAATGTCTATATATTTGCTAACCAATATGTCTTTGTTACATACATTAAATAGGAAAATGAAAAAAGTAAAAACAAAAACAATAAAACTTATTAAATTACAGATTCTCAAAAAAACTTTAAAAGGAGGAAGGAATATCTCAAAGAGGATATTTGCCATTGTGAAGCGGGAGTGGCTGATGTACCTTTTGTTTGCCTCAGCCACTTGTTAACTTGTAGTTGTTAAGCCCTGTATTCTAAACTCCATCAAAGCTTAACAGTGTTTGAGATGAAACGTATGAGGCATGTTAAGGCAACTTCAAAGCTCTTTTTTTTTTCTTTGTGAAGCTGTTCAGTGACAATATGATGTTGATCCAAAATCTGTTATTATTATTATTCCAGATTTTCTTATTAAAATGATGCTTTCCCAAAGTTGCCATATCCCTCAGATTTAGATCTTTCTTAAACTGCAAAATCTTGAAAACGTTTCCAAAACCACCATTCTACAACTTATTATTTGATATCAAGCAGCTTCAAGGTGTTTTTTTTTCTTTTTTCTAAATCTACGAAAAAAAGGTAAAGCATATTTACATTTTGTGGAAATATTTATTTTTTAAAACCTTTCAAAAATAGAAAAAGCTTGATATATGGATTGCGTCATACTGAAAAAAACAAACAAACAAAAAACATAATTACAGCTACAAATGTTTTCGGGTAGGGCAGCAGCTTCTCAATTCAACTCATTGAAACTACATTGCTCTGCTGTACCTCTGGCTGTTTTTGAAGGTCATTTTATGCATGATAGGGATTCTCCATCCCAATCTCAGGCCTTTTTTACACTACTTTTTACATTTTAAATTACTTTTAACTGTAATTGAACCTCACATAAACACTGAACAGCCTCACTGTGCCAGCTATACAGAAGCTTCTGTACAGCATGCATGGCAGCTGCTACAGTGAGATAATATTTAGTGTTAGTACTCCTTCCAACATACTATTTTGCATATAGGCTAATTGTTTTTCTGTCCTACTTGACCATAACACCATCTCCTAAATGTATGCATGTCATCTCTTTAAATGTCCATGAAGGCCAGGTTTGTTCAGTCCCAGACAAGCAGTTCATCAGTAAAGAGATTCTTCTTCCATACAGTAGCTTTCGGTTTTTGCAGCTGCCAGAGAGTTGTCATGAGCCTGTTGGTTGATTCTATGAATAAAACTCACCTTGCCATGTCAGTCATTTAAAGTATGATTTGGTATCTACATTTGAAAGCATTAGTTGGTACAAATATATTTGGATGTTTTTTTTTTTGAATAAACAATGCTTAACATACAATTACACTGGATTTTTTAGAGGGGCCTCTTCCCATTTTATCTTTAATAAATAATTTAACCCCTTGTCCTCTTTATCTTGTATTAAATTTTGCTCTCCATTTGTTCCACTCATGTGTTTTCCATTACTGGAATTCAAGCAATCAGTTAATGAAAACATCTAATTATGATCTAGTGGGAAGGAACTATGCAGGAAAAACCTATACTCTCACACAATGGAAGTGGGTCAGAGCTTTATGAGAAAGCCAACGCCTCTCGGGGGCAGTCAAGGAAGTAGGGAAAAAAAAGTAGAATGTAGCAGGCTTCTGTTTTTCTTTTTACAATTTTTATGTAGTTTAAAACATGGGCATAGTTGAATGCATTTTTAACTGTATTGTGCTTTCTAGGGTATTTTATAAAACTAAGTATTATAACACCCTCACAATCTTTTAACTTTGCATACAGTTTGATGCAGAGAGCTGTGTAATTTGACTCTTTAAAAGGGGAGGATTAAAAAAATGACCTGGCCAGGTAACATCACTATTAACTTTGTTTCTTAATCTTTATGACAGAAAAAAATCAAAACCTTCTGATATTTACATCAGCGCTACTTTACAACAGTTTGAGCTTTATACTTAGAGACCTACAAACCTTTTTAGTAATTTGTCAGACACAACTGAGAAAGCATTCTTATATATCACAATAGAAATAGTGCTGATACCACCAAGTCTTAAAAGTTGTTTGACTTGTTTTAAATACCATAACTCCAAGCATTTTGCCTTCATATTATACCAAGTTTAAGATTTTTTTTGAGATTTAAAACAGAAACACAAATTAATAAGAATTATAATGTCAGAAAATATAAAGTGTCAGATTAATCAAACTTCTTTTTTTTTCATGTTGGCTAAGTTCCTCTTAAAATGAAGATGAAAATGAGACATATTACAATTTTTCTATGGCATGTAACCTGGGGTCCTCTAAGGGATTTTTTGATATACTATATTTTTTTTTAGAAACTGAAAGACTCATAAGGAAGTTGGTATAGGTTTTATAGTATCTCTCTTCACCTAGAATTGATAATTCAGGTGCTTATTTTGTAGAGTAATGGTCCAATAACTGAGTTTAAAGGTTAATGTTTAGCTATGCTGTTACTATTTGGAAGATATTGTTAATGTAGATCCTCAAAATAAAAGAACAACAATGGATCCAATATATTACAACTCTAAAAAATAGCTTCAGAGAGAAAAGGCATTCTGTTTTCAATGTTATACCACCACCCCACCCCCTCAGAATCTCTGGTTTTGCCTCTGCCCTGTGAAATATGAGGTGCCCAAACACAGGAACAAAACACCACACATAATGACTAGGGTGGTGACCTGCTTTAGCATTGTGTGTATGTTTGTAAAATGGGCGATCTTATCCTGGTCTCACAACTTAAGGTTTCTGATTTCATGTCAGATTGAATCACAGTATATCATAGCTGTACATGCTGTGTATAAAAGCAGAGGGATGCAGGCGTTTCCACCACTTCATCCTCTTTCTGATACCTGGACGTCAGACAAGAGACAAAAACTATGGTAAGATGAACATTTCTCAGCAATTTCTGTACATGTACTATTGGATTTTTTTGTGTTATTATATAGAAAACAGTCTTCTTAAGTAAAATTAAAATGTGTTATTCAATCTGCAGCGTGAGTGCATCTCCATTCATGTGGGCCAAGCTGGGGCTCAGATTGGTAATGCATGCTGGGAGTTGTACTGCCTGGAACATGGTATCCAACCAGATGGACAAATACCAAATGACAAGACCACTGGAGGGGACGACTCCTTTAATACCTTCTTTAGTGAGACAGGGGCAGGAAAACATGTTCCCAGGGCCATCTTTGTTGACCTAGAACCTACTGTTATTGGTAAGTTACAGCTTTTTTAAAAATAAAAATAATATTTAAAGCTATATGCATTAAAACCTTTTTTAAATATATGTAATATTTCACAATAATTTAGAGAACTGCTATAATATGATCCAATTAGATAACATTATCTGCTTTAGCTGCTGGAACTTGCTTATTTAATTTTAGGTATGCATTAAACATAAAATAAATGTATTTGTTTTGTTGTCTAGATGAGGTGCGTACAGGAACCTACCGTCAGCTGTTCCACCCAGAGCAGATGATAACAGGAAAGGAAGATGCTGCCAACAACTATGCCCGTGGACACTACACCATTGGCAAGGAGATCATAGATCTTGTTTTGGACAGAACACGTAAACTGGTGAGACTAAAAGTGCTTTGGTCACAAGTTTGTAGTGTGCCAATAATGCGATTATTTGGTAAAAACTGATTTCTGTTTTGACCTGTAAATGTGTTACTTTTCAGGCTGATCAGTGCACTGGTCTGCAAGGTTTCCTCATCTTCCACTCTTTTGGTGGCGGAACAGGTTCTGGTTTCACCTCGCTGCTCATGGAAAGACTTTCTGTCGACTACGGCAAAAAGTCAAAGCTTGAGTTTGCCATCTACCCAGCTCCCCAGGTTTCCACTGCAGTAGTAGAGCCTTACAACTCCATTCTGACCACCCATACCACCCTGGAGCACTCTGACTGTGCTTTCATGGTGGACAATGAAGCCATCTATGATATCTGCCGCAGGAATCTCGACATTGAGAGACCAACCTATACCAACCTGAACCGTCTCATCAGTCAGATTGTGTCTTCAATCACAGCATCTCTTCGGTTTGATGGAGCTCTGAATGTTGATCTGACAGAGTTCCAGACCAACTTGGTGCCTTATCCTCGCATCCACTTCCCTCTAGCTACTTATGCTCCTGTGATTTCTTCTGAGAAAGCCTACCATGAGCAGATGTCTGTTGCTGACATCACCAACACCTGCTTTGAACCAGCTAATCAGATGGTGAAGTGTGACCCACGTCGTGGTAAATACATGGCATGCTGTTTGCTGTATCGTGGTGATGTTGTGCCCAAAGATGTCAACTCTGCAATCGCTGCCATAAAAACCAAACGCACCATCCAGTTTGTGGACTGGTGCCCCACAGGCTTTAAGGTTGGCATCAACTACCAGCCACCTACTGTGGTTCCTGGAGGAGACCTGGCTAAGGTGCAGAGAGCTGTGTGCATGCTGAGCAACACCACAGCAATCGCTGAAGCCTGGGCTCGACTAGACCACAAGTTTGATCTCATGTATGCCAAGAGAGCCTTTGTCCACTGGTATGTTGGAGAGGGAATGGAGGAGGGAGAGTTCTCTGAGGCCAGGGAAGATTTAGCTGCTTTGGAGAAGGATTATGAAGAGGTTGGAGCTGACAATGTTGAGGATGAGAATGATGAGGAAGAATACTGATTTTATTTTTTTCTCCCATCACATAGACTAAGTTAGTGGATATTTTTTTTGTTTTAAGACCATTTATACAGTTGATTTTTTTCTTTTTAGGGGGGGGGTTCATATACAAAAGCTTAATGGAGATATTAATAACATCAAACGGCGCATATAGGTAGTGGATGAGCTGAAATTATAGCCAGGATTGGATTGCTGTTGGTTTACATTGGCCCCTATTTAATTTAATGTACAGATTTTGATACAGGAAAAATGTTATCAGTGAGTGGGAACAATACAGATTCCTGATTGTTTGGTCAGTGAGAAAAAATGGAATCCATATCAACTTTAGACTTAGCTAAAGGGAGTTCATAAAACAAGATAATTGTGCCAATTACTGCCCCAAACTTCCATTTCTTGGAGAAAATCCCTGATTATTGGGAGAGATAATCCTGCCATTTGCGGTGTGTTAAGACTGAATTTGTTTGGAAGAACTTCGCGACCACTCGGATCAGAAAGTGAGGAAATCCAACAAAGGAAAACTAGCATCCCATAACAGCATCCTAGATCATTCTGTGCTTATTATGAGTAACCCCAATAAGAAGTTCTGTGGTGTTTTGATTTTCACAAGAGTCCTGCACTGTTCCAATATTTTTAAATCTATACCATCTCCCACAGTAGAGTTCAGAACCGGGACCCAACCAGTTTGAACAGCAATTATCGCTGTTTAAAACCCCACCCAGACCCATGAGTAATAGAGCATGGCCCTACCAGTGATTACAAGGTATACACACAACTACTCACGTTCATTAAATTCATTTAGCCATGAAGAACTTTACTTTTGAAGCTTCAGCAGAATGCTTCTAATAAAAGAGGCGCAAGTGCATTGACTGATGATCACATGCCATTGTGCTCCCAGATGACTAGCGGTGAACAAGGTGAATGCCGAAGGGCCTCTTCTTTCTCACACTATTATAAATACACTCTCACACCTGCATGCATACAATATACCAATCAAAACAAGCCTCTTTTAAAGCAACTGTTCAATTTCAAACGCAACAAAGGCGGCATAAGAATACAATTTCCAATGTAGAGGATGCAGCATCACTATTTCAGGAGCTTAGGCTAAAACAAACTCCTCAGAGCTCAAATGAACTTACTCCAATTTTTTATTAACTATGGCGTTTAGCAACTGATATTAAGGCCTTGCTCTTACGTTGGCTGTGCAGAAAACTAATATCGTCCACCGTTTACTGAAGGGGTTGTGCCCTCTCTTTTACTGAATCACAAACCCATTAGATAAAAAGTCTCTTTCGCTATTTGGGCTTGATGCCAGAATTGAAACCATTTTATGCCTTATCAGTGCTATGTTGGAGAACATATTTGCATGTTCTATCCAACATAGGAAAATTCACAAAGCATACTTGGGTCACTTTAAGTTAGTGTAGGCTACCTTGTTGCAAGCTAGAAAAAGCCATTATCTAGTTTTCTTGAATCAGTTTGATCCTTACGATGCAGGGTTAATAAAAAACAAAATATGAATAACTTTCATTTATGTCTTAACTCTTTGTGTACTATCTGCCCGTTTTTTGTTTACATTTATCCGTGTCTATACTCATAAAATAAAAAGCATACCGTTTCTTTCTTGTTTTTTTGTTATTTTTTTGTGAAAGGATTTCTTTAAGCTCTTTTGTCAGGCTAGAAAACTTAGACCAAACCCTCCACTTTGTGCCCCTCCCCTCTTCAGTTTCGTCTCCAATGAGGAATGCAAGTTATGAAAGGGCTTCTATGTCCGCTTAAACGTACCCATCAGCTGTGTCTCTGTGAGAGTGAGAGCCATAGAAAATAACTGATGTGTTCACTGACTGGTGTTGTTTGTGCAGCTCATTCTCAGACATTGGGCTGTAGCGACAATGGGATCCCAGTTCACTTTGCATGCTTATATGAATAACAAATAACAGCCCTGTGGTTCTAATCTAGTCTGTCATGTTGTAATATACAGTTACTTACATTTTGTTTGGTCTTTCTGAGTTGATAAATCATTATAATAAATACTAGATAGTGTCAAACCATATAATGCCATGCTCTACCATTATACTATAAATGATGTGTTCTGACCAGCCCCGCTCTCAATGATTAAAATCTCTCTGTTATGTCCAAAATAAAAATGTTATCCATCCTATGCAGCTTGGTGTGGTTATTGAATTTACTATTTGATGCATAAAATAAACTTTGTAGCCACACGTGTTAACAAAACCATAAAGGCTTACTGTTTCTATCTCAGTGCTTATAGAGGAAACACTGTTTTACGATATCAAACATAAGCATTTTGGGCACCTTAGGTATTGTCCTTTTGTACTTCACTACATAAGGATACAATAAAACATGAATAAAAGGGTTCTTTTTATTCTGTACCTTTGGAACTTGTAAGGGTTACTGATATGCTCTAAACAGAGTTTGAATGGGTTTTATGGTAGTTATAATGAAAAGCAGTGTCAAGAACTTCCCTCTTTTTTTTCCCCCTCTGAGCTGCTGTTCCCTCCCGTCAATAAACTATGCAGCTGCTTTCTGCGGTTTACTGCCTGCCCCCATCACATCCTTCCCTATATAAGCCCCGGCTCGCCCTTTTTCCTGCACTTCTGCCTTGTGTCTGAATCCTCATCGTCAGTCGAAGGACAAGCAGACAAAATGGTGAGTAGCTGCTTGGCTGATGACATTGTTTGGAAATTTCCTCTGTCTGTTTCCATTATTTTGCTTAAACATGGGAGCCTCTTAATCCTCATTTGCCTCTGCTGCAAAAGGGTGTTAATAAAAAACAACTTTATCCTTCTAAGTGCAAGCCAATCATAATGAATTTAATAAAAAATTAAAAAAACGCTTTTTAGGGTTTCAATAGGATATTTGGATTTAGGAAGCATGAGTAAATGTAGCTCAATGAAGAATGTTAAGTCATGCCCAGCTGAAAAACAAAATGAGTTAGCTGATAGATACTTTATACACAAAACTTTTCTTATGCAAGGTTTGTTTCAAGTGGATTTTTCTTGTTGAATAGCAGAGACACACCCAAATAAGGAAAAATGAACTAGATTTGCTGTTCTTTTTCCTCAGTGGGATCGATCATTGTAATCGTGGCAGTGGGAGGGACGAAACAAAAAAGAAAGAGAGGAGGGGTTTTGCCTGCAGTGTGGGCTAGATGGCAGACATTTTGTAAGGGCTCTGCTTGGGAAATGTGGAGGGAGAGAAAGAGGGAGAGATAGGGACATCCCAAAGTGTTACAAACCACAACAACATGTCGCTGTAGATGTGGCGGGGGAGAAGAGATGAGGGGGAGGGGATAAGGAAGGGAGGGAATACAGGATGAGGAGGTATGAGTAAGAATTCCCCTTTTTTTTTCCATTCAGTCTTCCTGTCTGCCACTTATTCTGTTTATGAAAACTAAGACACAATGGAGACTTCCTTATATGTTCCAGTAACACCCAGATGTGACATTAAGATCCACTTTAGTAACAGCAGAGTCCTGATTTATAAGTTGAGCTTTGTATTGTTCATAACTTTGTTCAACTGTCAGTTTAAAGTGTATTAAAGTTTATATAAAGTGTTTTATTCCAAGTAAAATTGCCTCTAACCATGTCTCTTATTTTTCTAGCGTGAGTGTATTTCTATGCATGTCGGCCAAGCCGGAGCCCAGATGGGCAATGCATGTTGGGAGCTGTACTGTCTCGAGCATGGGATTCAGCCAGATGGTCAGATGCCTTCAGACAAGACTCTTGGGGGAGGGGATGACTCCTTCAACACCTTCTTCAGTGAAACGGGGGCAGGGAAGCACGTTCCCAGAGCTATCTTTGTTGACCTGGAACCTACTGTCATTGGTCAGCACTCTATAGATGATCAATCACTTACAAATATGTAAGTTTGTGGATTAGATGTCATACCAATCTTTTTTTGTGGTTTATTCATAGATGAGGTGCGTACAGGAACATACCGTCAGCTTTTTCATCCCGAGCAGCTGATTACTGGAAAGGAAGATGCTGCTAACAACTATGCTCGTGGTCACTACACCATTGGCAAGGAGATCATCGATCTTGTTCTAGATCGGACACGTAAACTGGTAAGAGTTTACAGCGCAACATTTATATTTGCACAGGATGCACAAATTTACATCTACCAGTGAATTTTAATATATCAAAATACGTTCTTTTCAGGCTGATCAGTGCACTGGCCTGCAAGGATTCCTCATCTTCCACTCTTTTGGTGGAGGAACTGGCTCTGGTTTCACCTCCCTTTTGATGGAAAGACTTTCTGTTGACTATGGGAAAAAATCCAAACTTGAATTTGCTGTCTACCCAGCCCCCCAGGTTTCCACTGCAGTAGTAGAGCCTTACAACTCCATCCTGACCACCCACACCACCCTGGAGCACTCTGACTGTGCTTTCATGGTGGACAATGAAGCCATCTATGATATCTGCCGCAGAAATCTCGACATTGAGAGACCAACCTACACCAACCTGAACAGGCTAATTGGCCAGATTGTGTCTTCAATCACAGCATCCCTTCGCTTTGATGGAGCTCTGAATGTTGACCTGACAGAGTTCCAGACCAACTTGGTGCCTTATCCTCGCATCCACTTCCCTCTGGCTACCTATGCTCCGGTTATCTCTGCTGAGAAAGCCTACCACGAGCAGCTATCTGTGGCTGATATAACCAATGCCTGCTTTGAACCAGCTAATCAGATGGTGAAGTGTGACCCACGTCATGGTAAATACATGGCATGCTGTTTGCTTTATCGTGGTGATGTTGTGCCCAAAGATGTCAACTCTGCCATCGCTGCAATAAAAACCAAACGCACCATCCAGTTTGTGGACTGGTGCCCCACAGGCTTTAAGGTTGGCATCAACTACCAGCCACCTACTGTGGTTCCTGGAGGAGACCTGGCTAAGGTGCAGAGAGCTGTGTGCATGCTGAGCAACACCACAGCAATCGCTGAAGCCTGGGCACGACTAGACCATAAGTTTGATCTCATGTATGCCAAGAGAGCCTTTGTCCACTGGTATGTTGGAGAAGGAATGGAGGAAGGAGAGTTCTCTGAGGCCAGAGAAGACATGGCTGCTTTGGAAAAGGATTATGAAGAAGTTGGCACCGACAGCCTGGGAGAAGAGGATGAAGAGGGAGAGGAATACTAAGGGGGGCCAAGACCGCCAAACATTCCAAACCTTGTTCTGAATGCAACATTCCCTGCAGCATTCATAAATTCTGATATGGTGATTTGGCACTATTATCAATAAAAGTTCAAATTAATGTGTTGAGTGAACTTTTTTTTTTATTATTTTTAAGAAACTTCCAGGCCTTGCAATCAAACTAAATACACCAATAAAACATGAGGGTGAATTTACTAAATAAGCAAAAGCAATAAGGAGACACATTTTCCATGACACACAGCATCTGTTCTCTTAAGGACTGCACAACTGTAGTGTGACTAATAATCCATATCATCCTTATTACTCTATAAGGACATGAATAGCCGCTGTATAATTTTTCTAATCAATAGTGGTTAACAATAGATACTATATTTTCTACCAAAGATCTTAGCATTAAGGATTGCAGTTATCCAAATGGTGACTTATTTTACGTTAATATTAAACTTCTATTTTCTGGTTAGCTTTCTGCTTCTGCAGTGTCTTATTTTGGCCCTAAAGGGTGTCGTGGAAAATCTGCAATGCCTATATAACCCAGCAGATGGCGATAAACACGCAATTAAAGTTGAGCCAGCTGGCGACATCATCACTAGATTTACTCAAATTCACAAATGGCCCTTTTTTTTATTATTAATAAAAAAAAAAAAAAAAAAATTTTATATCCACCCTACAGTCATTTTTAAAATGTAGGCTATATAGATATAGATACTTTCAACAACAAATTTTGGGTTTAGGTCGTGCAAAATGGCCACAATAATAACCCAAAACAAAACAAAACAAAAAATAAATCAAATATCAGGGCAAATAAAAATATTTATTGCATGTTCCCAGTGTAGAGTGCAGTGACCTCTAAAACAGATGACCCGTATAAAAATTATTATATCAATGATATATTATTATTATTATTTTTATTATTATTATATAATAACATTATTATTATTATTATTATTTATATTATTGTTTTCCATATTTACATTTGAACATAGCAACAGTGTCTATTTTTTTTTCTTCCCATTTATGGGGAATGAAGTCTCATACTTCTTTTTCTATTGGCCAAAAACACGACATCAAAGGCTACTGGACGTAGAGAAAGGTTTTAGATTTTGCTAAAAACAACCCTACGTGTGACAATTCATATGGCACACAAAGAACAGGAAAAATAAAACAGAAACAAAATAGATAAATTTATCTAAGTTATAAATAAACACAATTAAACTAAATTGTTTTTAACTTTGAAACTGTATAGCACTAATGGGGCAGCGTTTTAGAAATAAAGCAACTCTAACAAAACAGAATAAATATATTTAAAGCACAGCAGTTTTTTAATCGATTAAAACAAGTGGACGCTAGAGTGGGCGGGGCTTGTGACGTGCCTCAGACGCTGGTATTTTCTAGACGCTTCATGGCTTTCTGTCGGCTCGCAGTGACGTAGAGGGCACAGCTGAGTGGCAGTCAGTGTGGACCAGGCTAACTGTCTTTATGTTTCACCTTCTCAAAGCTTAGGAGCAGACCTGAAGTTGAACCGTATTGCAGAAAATTTCCGTGTAGACACATCGTGGAAGGAAAAAACGGGAGGCGGCCACGGCTGTCACAACATAGCAACCATTCCTCAGGATATTAACTCATCTCCAAGGGGCGCGAGCGTCTTAACTGACCACCAGTTGGACCGTTAGACAAGAAAGGTGAGCAGTTTTGGGCAATAACATGCGAGGTGTGACTACCTCCAGCTAAAATTCCGTTTTCTGTTTATAGGATGTCCAAATTCTCCATATTAGGACAATTTACCACCGATATGAAATAAATACTGACCCCTCCTCTAACCGGAGGCACTGGGACAGCATAACACCTGTGCATGTTTATATTGACCGTTTTTGGGCTTCTTAAGGCCTACTGTCATGACAGCAGCAGTTGTTAGATTCCTGAGTACTGGAAATAACACAGATATAGCACATGTATGCGCGCGTGGAGTTTTCCACGGTGAGATCGAAAGTTAAGTTTATTTTTATGTTTTTTTTTTTTTTTTTGCCTCGCCTTGGAAGCCCCCCTCAGCAGACTAATGTGATTGGCATGATGGTTGAAGTTTTGTCAGTGGCTATTATAGATTTGCTGACTGAACTTAGTTCAAGAGCATTTAAGTTTTAACTTTTCAAAGGAGGAAAATAAACCCTTTATTATTTTGAAAAGTAGTTAAAATCTTTTTGATGTTTGTAATAAGCGTTTGTAGTGTTTTTGGTTAACATTTAATGCATATATCATAGCTATACTATTATAATTTCTTAATATTTTCAAAGGGAATAATAGCAGCAATGTTACTATCATGCAAACAGCACCAACAAACTTTTTGGCAAATTAAACCTAATTAGGCCCGAGCAGCGAAGGCTGCAAGAGCCTATTGTATTTCGAAAGTTTCTTTTTATTATTATTAGGCCCGAGCAGCAAAGCGCTGCGAAGGCCTATTGTATTTCGAAAGTTTCTTATTATTATTATTATTACGATTCTTGTAGCACTTTGAACGCATTTTACGGGGACTTCGCATTTTCAAAAACTCAGGAAAACATGGCAGTAAATTGTCCCCCGCGTGAAATAGCCGGTCTGTAATGGAATCCAAAATGGCCGCCCCCAAATTACGCCACAGCGCCCCCTAACGTGAGTTGGGGGAAACTGTAAGTCCCAGAGATTTGAAAGTTGGCACACAGGTAGATCTCGTAAAATCATGAAAAAAAGTCTCTTGGAGGTATGCCCTAAAACCCACAGGAAGTCGGCCATTTTGGCTCAAAGTGCCCCCTAGAAATAACAAACTTCAAACCACCAGCCCCAAGCCGTTTTTAGTGCTAGAATATTGAAACGTTGAACACATTTGCATCTCATCAGGCCCTAACTAAAAGCCTCTTGAAGCCATGGTCTAAACCCCACCGGAAGTCGGCCATTTTGAATTACAATTTACTCTCTTGTGAAAGCACTGACCTTTTTTCAAAAAATTGTATAAAATCAGCCTTTTATCCAAATGAGCTAAAACTTTCAAAATACGTTCTTTACAAAGCCTGCTGTAAGCTGGTTACAATAGCAAAGCGCTTCTTTAAAGTCCGTCACTCTGATTTTTCAAAAGTTTGCGTTCTCGCCTAATAGTTGGTCAAGTGGACAGATAATGCCAGGAAATAATTCAGCCCCTAGCCATGCTCGTTCCTAGGATAATGAAACTTGGCACACATCTGTATGAGCCCCCCACCTACAAAAAGTTTCATTGGAGCCATGGTCTAAACCTCTCATGAAGTCGGCCATTTTGAATCAAACGGCACCCTTATGAAAATAGAATCACTATGTTAAAATATTTCTAAAAAATCAGTCGTTTTCCCAAAAGCGCTAGGACTTTTGGAATATATTCCTCTAATCGGTACTTTTTTGATGGTGTACACAGCATAGCTCTTCTTAAAAGTCCGTCACTCTGATTTTTCAACAGTTTGTGTTAACAGGAAATTGTTGTATCTCAAAAAGTTTTATAGCAATCCTAGCCAACTTTGGAACAGTTATTTATCCTTTGATTATAGAAAAGACTGCCGAGTTTGGCGTGAATCCAGGCATGTTTGAGCATCTTATGGGGTTTACAACTGCCGCAGTATATGGCATTCAAGTTTAAAGATTTTTCTTTCTTTAAATTATTTAATAAATCATCTAAAAAAAATCTAGGACATGCAAGATGTGTTCCTTGACATTTGTGATTTTTTTCGGGATTTTATTGCAAACTATAGATTTTTAATGAATTTTTTTGTTTTGAGTAGAGTCGGCCATTTTGAATTACATTTTACCGTGTCGTGAAATCACGGACCTCTTTTCAAAAAATTGTATAAAATCAGCCTTTTATCCAAATGAGCTAAAACTTTCAAAATACGTTCTTTACAAAGCCTGCTGTAAGCTGGTTACAATAGCAAAGCGCTTTTTTAAAGTCTGTCAGTCTGATTTTTCAAAAGTTTGTGTTAACAGAAAATTGTTGTATCTCAAAAAGTTTTATAGCAATCCTAGCCAAATGTGGAACAGTTATTTATCCTTTGATTATACAAAAGACTGCCAAGATTGGCGTGAATCTATGCATGTTTGAGCATCTTATGGGGTTTTCAACTGCCGCAGTATATGGCATTCAAGTTTAAAGATTTTTCTTTCTTTAAATTATTTAATAAATCATCTAAAAAAAATCTAGGACATGCAAGATGTGTTCCTTGACATTTGTGATTTTTTTCGGGATTTTATTGCAAACTATGGATTTTTAATTATTTTTTTTTGTTTTGAGTAGGGTGTATTACCGCTAACCGTGGAGTTTGGCAGTGCTGTTTCTCCATCTTTTGAACATATACTTTTGACCCACCACCTGAGATGGCCGCAGCATCTATCTCACAGATGAGATTCATCCCAGATATTATATTTTATCCCTAGTTTAACCCTTCCTCACCAAAGCTGTGGTTTTCTCCGGCTGGTCCAGAGGTGAAGCGTGGCGCCTTTTCCGCTGGCTGAGAAGGAGCAAGGGGGCGGCAAACTTCTAACTTGCTGAGCCTCGATTTAAGACATAAGGGGTCAAAAGCAATCAAAAGAGTTTTTGCTGTGACAAACCATGTGGGCGTGGCCAAGCATCAAAATCAGACTTTGCGCCATTAGAGTATGACTAAACTGCCTCAGGCCCTGCTTTTATTAAGGATTATTAAATTTGTATAGCCGAACACGATGCTCAAAAAAGTATATTGGAGTCATGGTCCACACCCAACAAGAAATGGGCCATTTTGGATCAAAGATACCATTTTCTTTTTTTAGGTCATGACATATCTGAGGGAAGGGCTCTTGGGTTTTTTTGAGTTTGAGACTTCAAATTAACTTTACATGGACTATAGTCATAGCAAATTAAAAGTTATCAAAATTATTATTCTACATGGGAGCATGTGGGCGTGGCTAAGCATCAAACTGTTAACTCCAGTCATCCAAAGCCATGCTTTTAGGAGGAGGAGAAGGATGATGAGGATGAGAAACAAACAGCAGTAGGAGATGCAGTGAGAGCAGCAGCAGGAAGAAGAATATGAAGAGAAGGAGCACAGGGGGAGGAGGATGATTAGGAAGATAATC